CGATGGAGAACCCAGTGAAGATGCAGATACTCTAAGCCAAGTAAAACTTGCAAAACCATATTCTTAATGTGTTCAGGCATCAAAATTATGGTTGTATCTTTCAGCAGATGTTCTAAATCCGTCTCCATGAAGTCGAAAACCAGTTGTATATTTGTTTTGTGGCCAATTACGTTCAATAACTAAAAGTAGCTAAAAGTATTACAACATTGAAAGAAAATGGAAGTCATATTGCTCAAGAGAATTGATTATTTGACTGCTAAAAACAAATATACTAACCCCAATTATATTGTCGTGGTGCAACTCCTGAAGCAATTTGATTTCTCGTAATGCAGTACGGTTAACGCCGTCTTTAGCTTCATGACGAGAGCCTAGTTTTATCTGAAACCACTTCCACTACCAAATCCACTTAACCCTCAATTTTCAAGATCACTTTTTTGATAAAAAATGCCTAATAACAAATATTTTTTTAATTTAAAAATGGGAGAAATCAAAAAAATGCAGTTTTTCCATCAGGTTAACAAAGGGCGTACGAAACAGGTTTCGACCTATCAGATTCACTTTAAACTCCTAATACTAATTTAACTTCATTGACAGATACAAAAATATTTGGACTCGAACAAAATCTAGGTTAAATGAGCACTTTGAAGCACGCTATCTGTTGTGAACTTAAACTGAGAGTAGCTTAATTGCGAAGAAGGGCGGAAAGATATAAAAATTAGTAGCAAAAAAGCTTTCAAAATTACCTTTTTTATAGCAACGTATTCATCAGTTTCAAGGTCCTTTGCCTTATAGACGTTAGCAAACTAAAGAGAGTTAGCTTTTTATAATAAAATCCCACCCTAATAAAAAGATTCCTTTGAATAACTTCGCATCTTCTACGTTTTGCTAACCTCAATCATATGAAAACAATAAAGAAACCAGCAGAATCCATAAAACCATCTATATGACTTACCTGACCTTCGCCAAGATGCTTTATTTTTTCGTAACGTGCCTTCAAATTCGTACGAGACATCAAAAAGCTGAAGAACAATCTTTTTCTCGAAAAACCAATTTACACGAGAAAAAAGATAACACAAACCGTCAAACACAACTGCCAAATACCGCCGGAGTGACAAAGATCCTCCATGCAACAGTGATAACATCAGCGGAACAGGTTCAAGTAAAATTAAAGTGAGCAGAGTTAAACAGAGCCTGAATAAAGATGAAGCAGACGAAGATCTAAGGAGACTTGGCTTTCTTAAAATTTACCTCAAAGCCCAAGTGTCTAATGACTTTATAGCCCCGAACTTAGACGCTCTAGAAACCAATAAAGTTCTAAAAAAAAGCAGATCCGTTGGCATCCGACTCAACAACCAAAAAATATAGCGCATTTCTACTTCAGAAATATTTTGCCTATGAAATTCTGCACTTTAACCTACTAGTGCTTTCCGTTTTTATTCCACAATTCAGTGCCGAAAAAAATCTCGATTACACCAAGTTAATGCAGTAATGGTAACATCTGGTTCCAAAAAGGAACAGCTTACTTCTCAAATCTAAAGTACTGTACGCAGGGCTCTTTGGCAAGCCAAACCTGATTTTCGCAGTTAAACGACCGATACAGATTAAGCTATTAATTTGTCGAGCAAAATCTATTACTGTTTCTTCGTCCAAAAAATCTCAAAGAACCTCACTTACTCTCCAAACAGATGCCTTATTGGGAAACTGATACTTGATTGCCAACTCTTACCTGCCCCACCATTTTAAGAATAGCAGACGCTACCACCGTTTTTTCTCTTATCGGGACATACGATAGTAGTAATTAAATACTGCGAGCTTTTCTCACCCAAGTATCAATAATATAACTGTTTTGAAGTAAATACACAAGAACTTGTCGGTGATCGGCAAAACATGCTCA